AATGACGGTTCATTGTCACAGTAAATGGATCTGGCTTTTGGAAAAAAATTCATAAGTTGCATTACGGCTGGCTTCAGATCCACAATGGTTCTTGAAGCGATCGGTTGGACGATAGCAAACTTAGAGAACTTGTCGATGCAAGTGAGAAAGTATTTCTTGTCAGTGGAGAAAATGTCCATGTGTAACATCTCTCCTACATGTGAGGGGATCGGTGTCTCTCCAAGCTCTTGTTTTTTGGGGTGTCTATCATACTTAGCCCTAGCACATGTTTTGCAGTTTTGTACTATTTCCTTGGCAATTTTTGCCATCCGTGGAAAGTAGTACTCGGAGAGTACCTGCTTAACATTTTCCTGTGCAGACCTATGGGCCCTATTATGCTCGACTGTGAGGATTTCCCTTCCTTCTCCAACCGCAAATATGTCCACTACGCGATTTTTGCAATGCCAGAACTTTGTGGCTGGGTATCTTCGCACCAATGTATCTTGTATCATTGCAAGCGTGTGTAAATTACAGTGGAGAGCATTTACGCATTTGGGTGAGACTACATCTTCGAGCTCGTCTAGCAGCGATTCGACGCATGTATAGCTGATCAAGTAGCGTTTCTTATTTCCAAAAAGAATAAAACTTCGTTTTAAGGGGAAACGCGCCTCTTCTAGCACTATCTGGTTTTGAAAACAGTTCAAGGGTTTGTCTGTCGTCTCAATGGTGTTGGTGAGAGATACCTCACTGTGGATCGTTGCTGCGCAGGACTCAATTTCTTGCTCATTTATAGCGTTGAGCTGCTGTCTTGACAAGGCATCCGCAACCAGATTGTCCTTGCCAGGTTTATAGAAGATACGTGCATTAGACTCGTCAATGCGCGCTTTCCACCTTTTGATTTTCGCATTTGGATTAGATTCCGAAACTGCGAAGGTCAAGGGTTGATGGTCAGTGAAGATATTAATGTCTTTCACCCCATACAAATAGTGCCTTAATTTGGCAAGTGACCATACAATGGCCAATAACTCTCTCTCATTGGTTGCATAGTTAACCTCACTGTCCTTCAATGTTCTTGAAATCATTGTTATAGGACGACCCTCTTGAGACAAAACTGCACCTATGCCGTGAGCCGAAGCATCGGTCGTTAGATCGAATGGCTTCTTAAAATCGGGGTACCTGAGCATTACATTCTCGGATGACAAAATATTGCGCAACTTCTGAAATGCCCTCTGCTGCACTTCAGAGAATTGAACCTTTATATTTCTGGACCTATGCTTACTGACTGTTCCATTTTCACCCTTCAGGATATTCGAGATGGGTCTTGCTATTGCGGCGAAGTCCCTAATGAAACATCTGTAATAACTTGCGAGGCCTAGAAATGATCTAACCTCGAACAGCGTTTTTGGTTCTGGATACTCCTGTATTGCCCTAACCTTTTCAGGATCCGTCGTGGTGCCAGTGCTGGTGACTACGAAACCAAGAAAGTTCACGCTTTTCTTAAAAAAACGTGACTTTTTGACGGAGACCCTCATGTTTGCTTTGTATAAGCTTTTTAGGACCCGATCCACGTGTTTAATGTGGGATTCCTCATCTTCTGAAAAGATGATTACGTCATTGACATCAACATAGCAAAATTTGCCAATCTGCTCTCGCAGTATGTCGTCGATGGTTCTTTGAAAAATGCTTGCTGCATTCTTTAATCCAAAGGGGAGTCTTTTGAACTCGTATTTCCCCCCGTTCACAGAGAAAGAGGTTTTTTCACGGTCGCGTTCAGCGAGTATGATCTGGTGATAACCAGACTTGAGGTCTAATGTTGAAAAGAATTTGGCTCTCCCCAAATTCCCCAATATCATTGATATATTTGGCATAGGGTATTTGTCCGGCACGGTTTTTTCGTTAAGTTTACGAAAGTCCATTACCAACCTCATTTTCCTATTGCCCGCTTCATAAGTGCCCTTCTTGTCTACTACCCATATTGGGTTATTGTAGGGAGAGACGGACTTTTGAATTATATCATTCTTTAGTAGATCTTTGATTTCTTTATTAACGAAATCAGCCGCTCCCATTGGATATGGGTAAAGCTTGGTATAGATCGGTTGCTCATCTATGGTCCTAATGGTAGCCACGACTGATGTGTTATACGGCAACGTCTCGTCTGGGTCTGCAAAGGCCTTTTGTCTGGTCTTCAGCATTTTCAAAAAAGAACTTCTAACTAATGGGGATGCATCTGCTATTTGTTCAGCTAACTCATTAATTCTTTGAGTCAATGCATGCTCCCTCTGCTGGTTTACAGCAGCCTGTTCGGCTAAAGCTTTGCTGATAGCCGTCCTTATTACTTCCGTAAGCTGATCTACATCCATTCTACCTGATGGTGGGAGAACTGCACAGTCGGAATCTGAGTCGCTAGACTGCCTGCGAGGGTTTCTCTATTGGTTGAACCGAGACATGCGCAGGTCAGTGGTCGCGAAAAATAAAACGGGCCGTCAGAAGATGGGTCGAATTACGTCGCAGTTCTGAACTACGAGAACTGCATGCACAACTTCAGACACACAGAAAGTAACACAATGTAATTTTATTGACGATCTGAATGATCAATTGCTGCCACTAAAATTCCCAAAGTAGTCACTCTCACTTGGTTCTGATCATTAATTTTTTTTTTTTTTTTACATGCAATTGCAATATAAAATACTCGCTAGTCCTAGCTATTTTTTTATAAAATAAATTTTAACACTTTTTGTGTTTGAAGAAAAATTTTGGCTAGAGTATCCACTTACAAGATTCAACTAACACAAAACAAAAAAAAAAATCCCTTTATAAGATCTGTCAATTGCAGCTCCCGCGCTGCTGTCTTAATTGTTGTTGGTTGTGGAGTCCGACCACTAGTTGGGCGCCAATTATATGTTTTCCAGTCCTGTGGTGACTGAAAGTTAGGTTGAGAGGCGACTGTGCCTCTTATTGCTGGCCTCGGGCTCAGACAATGAAATGAGCCATTTAACGAGCAAATGACGGAGTGAATATTTATTTAAGCGGTTTACTGGAAGAACGCTTTTTAACCCTGCTTTTAATTGTTCTTTTTTGAATAATCGAAACAGTTAATTTTATTGGTTTTTCTTATTATATTCACTATTTTTAGTTTTACTTATATGACACCAATTTTTAGCATGTCCTATCAGTACGAGTTAAAACACGAGACTGATCTATATTTTTACAAATCATAGCCTCACCGGCGTAAGTAGAGTTGCCCTTGCCAGGGCTGTTCCTTAACTTGTCTAGCACCCGATAATAAGTGTTGAATAATACCTAACATTAAGTGTTATAAGCTAACTAAGTGTTATAAGTTAACTTATACACAGATATATGTATAAATGGATTTTTAGTGCTTGCCATTTTCGCTGGCCTGCTGTAATGCTTGGCGCATAGTTTTGTTCAACCGCATCAAAACCCGAGCAAAGTAAGAAATTATAATCAGCTCGGCAGTAGGTGACTGGAGAATATCCTATTTTATGAAAGAGAAAATGCACAGAAATGCAAAGAGCGAGATTAACTGGAAAAGGTATATAGATAACAAAACACTTAAAGATGCAAATTGATTTTTGGCATATAATATGCCATAGCATGCATATCTCAAATAACAATATGACGTGTCTTTGTTACATAGAGTCTTTCAGCTGCATTTACCCAACTGCAATGTACCCTGCTCTTATATCCATTTTCCATGGGAGCTATAAAAATGCGAAACCTTTAATGTTTCCACTCAACAGACTGCCAATGGCAAAAGAGCAACAAGCTGCAGCTGAAGTCGGGGCCAAGCATGGAAAGTGGAACTGAGCGCCGCTCACTTCAATGTTTATTGGCCGCCATTTAATGCAGCGTAGTACGTGTGTGATGCGAGTGCTGTGGCCCTGTTGCCCTGTTGTTCAGCTGTTCAGTTGTTGAGTTGTCCTGCGGCCAAGCACCGTGCCGCATTTGCCCATTCAATCCTTTCGCTGTGACAGCAGTCCTATGCTGTTAAGCGTTGAGCATATTAAGCCGTTCTGAAAGCCGATTGCACGCTTTTAACCCGAAACTCAACGACTCGGCGTCTCAGACAGAACTTTTAACTGGGATGCATAAAAGCCGCATGGCCATTACTATCAGTTACAGTCTCTGCAAAGCAACAACAAGGATAACAACAATGCCTGGGTGACTGCTGCCATTGTGCTCGGCCCGCACTGGTATTTCCAGTGAGTGTTTGCTGCCATTTTTATTTGAAAGAACCCAGAACAGGGTTTATGCCAGATGTGCATTCACTTACTTTACCACCCAGTCTCTCTCTATCTCTATCCCTTGCTCTCTATCTCTTTCGATTTGTGTCTCTGTCTGAGGCACTGTCTATGTTTGTGCAATATCATCGCATTGTCCGTGGTTCATTGTCTTGCAGCTAGGTTCTGTAGCGTCTGCGGTTAGCATTTCTATAGACTGCTGATAGTAGTGCCCTCTGCCGAGGCCTCGCTTTGTTCTCCCTCCATTTTCCACTCATTTTCCAGGTAAGTCTGTTATGTGGAAGTCGCATTGTGTACTTATGTTGTATGTAATGGTGGCACCCCTTTTCCGCTTCGTTGTCTCACAGACTTTCGTCTGTCTCTTTATCAGGGAAATTGAGGCAGGGGAAAGCGGCGCACATTAGTTGCGTGGATAGCTGGTGGCATGTGGCAAGTGGCAAGTGGCAAGTGGCAAGTGCAATTCGAAATTAACATCAATAATTAATTTCGATTTGCTGCAATTACAATTGGCATGGAACAGAAGTAGCCCCGCGCTACATTGCCAATAGATTTATGTGTGCATTCATTGAAACGATCCACAAATTGATTGATTTATTATAGATATGTATATTTATCGATGCATTAGTTGATGTGGGATTTAAATTGTGTGCTGCTGCTGTTGCGCGTCCATAAATGTTTCAATAATTATTAGAAACACATTATATTAATATAAATCTGGATAAGCGTCCAAGCCCTTACACGAACATATCTCATGCGCAGGGCTATTTAGTACAAATCTATGTGTATGAGAACCCGGAAGGCTTTAAATTTCAATGCAAGGCCCCAGAGTCAACGACGGCCGTGCCAGTGGTAAGTCCATCATTTGCAGCTCATCATCAGGTTCATACAGTTTCAGGGCTTTATATGTTATGCATAATAAATGAAAAGCAATTAAGAATTTGTAAGTCTTCATTTTGTAATAAAAAGCTTGGAAATTCATTTTATTGTTTTATCAAGTTGTTTAGCATTTTAATTTTTTATACATTTTATAAATCTATTTTGCATTATTATTTAATTAGGAGGAAAATGACCTACCCACAGAGTCAGTTCCCGAAGAACAAGTTGATCCCGATCAAGAAATGGTTTGTTTTATTATTTTATTTTGTATCGTTTCAACGCTTGTTTTATATTTTTTATGATTTGATTTTGTTTCATTTAGAACTCTCCACCTGATGAGCCCATTATCGACGAAAATGACATTACCAGAGAGGACTTTTGGTCTATAGATAGTGAGGTTAGTTGCTAAGCATATTTACATATCCCAGGCAATTTCATAATACGCTTAGTAACTCAACTAAACTAAACAATAATTCATTTTAATCTCCAAATGGCATTTCGATTGCGTCTGATTACGGCTGCAGCTGCAGCTTGATCAGGAATTATAAACTTGGCAGCAAGTGCTGTGTGCACTTGCCGTAAATGCGAACGTCACTCACTACATGTCCTTGTCGTTCTCCTCTTTTTTCACAGGCAACTGACATTTTCGACGACAGTGGTATTCAGCCCAACGGACAGACGCAGCTAACGCACGAGAGACGTAAGTTCAACTGAAGCTGGACCTTGTCCGGATTTTAATTAGGCAAACGGCTAATGGAATGACTTTTGCTTTTGCCTCTATCCTCCTGCAGCGTATCGCGGCATTAAGGGCGAGAAGGGCGATCGAGGGCCCAAGGGTGATAGTATACGTGGTCCACCTGGGCCGCCCGGTCCGCCGGGCCCCAAAGGTGATACACCCTCGTATCCGCCCTTTGTGGAGACACCAAGTCCGGGGGCTGTAAGTATTAAAATCGACCAAGCACTCATTTTGTGACTTTGCGACCGCACCGAGCTTGGGGCCCAAATATTTGCACGCCAAACGCTAGAGGCGACAACGGAGCTGCAGTTGGATTTGAATTGAAAGACAAATTCAGTGCTGACTCTGGGTGCTTTCTTGCCAAATGCAAATATAAGCCCTGTGCACTCGCAAAATTTTGCAGAGACACCTACAAGAAAGATATAGAGGTTGGGTTGGGGTGTCTTGGATTAAGCCCGTTTCCGCCCGCTTCGGGTATTGAATGACAAAAATATTCGTGTATCAATTGCAGAAATACACTGGCGAATGTACATGTAATGCGTCTGATATCCTGGAAGCCTTCAAGGACAATGAAACGATACGGGAAACGTTGCGCGGTCCGCCCGGTGCGCAGGGCAGAGATGGAAAGACAGGCGCCCCTGGACTTACCGTAAGTACATGCGACAATTTTATACCTAGTTTATACAGAGGCTACGGATTGGCCGGCCAAAATGGCAAAAGGCAATATTTGACATGGATCTAACGCATTTTCAATTTCATTACACACATCTTCTAAGCTTGAAGAGAATGCGGGGACGGCAGAGAATAGGAGTGCGATGGTTATCGCCAGTCGGTTACACGCACACACAAACGCAAACACACACACACGACAGCCAAGTCAAACATCATAATTTGTGCGTGTGTGTGTGTGCGTGTAACCGGAAACGAGGAAAAGCGTTAACGTGAAAAAGGAAACGAAATTTCTTTATAAGTTTTGCGAGCAAACGGCAGGCAACTCAGGCTTAAACACTTATCCACTTTGGGCGCCACTGGCACTCGTTATATTATCTCATCAGTTGGCAACGTCTTTCGCAACTATAAGAGTTGTATCTATGTAAGGATACAAAGAGACTACCCACTCCCCACAATCTGTTCTCTTCCTTCCCATGTCCCTCTATCTGTGTAACTGTGTGCCAGTTAGCGCTTATTTTATTCTGCTTACACATGTACGCTTGTGTGCGTGTGTGTGCGGGTCAAAGGCTAAGTCCACAATGCTACAACGAGATGTTAGCCTCAACATCCACTCAGCCCGAAAGTGCCTGTCACGGCAAAGGGCCAAAGATACTCGTAACTTTTATGGGGTTAGCCAAAAATATAAAAACCTCTCAGATACGTTGCGTCCATGTACACATAGATTCTCGAAGCTTTAGTCTACTACAAACAAGGGAGAAGAAGAAAAGCAACATGCAAATGCATTTTATTCTGGCCTAGTCACAGACAACACTTTGCCTAGTCTCTCGAAAAACTCAACTCTCATTGACAATGTGCTTAGCAACCTGTGGAACGCAGCCTCTTCAATACGCTGCAATATATCAAAAGAAAAGCGGTATGCAAAACATTTCTGTGGCTAACAACAAGCAGCTATGCGAATATGTCTTGCCCGAAATGTAGAAAGGCCCAAATCTGACCCTTCTATCCCAGCCGTTGTCCTTGCTCCTAGTCCACCTAAAATGCTTGAGTAAAATATGGCGACTGCTGCGCATACCGGAAATTCCTGCGACAATTTTGTTCCTCTACTGCTAATCCCTTAACTAATAGCAATTAATTTAAAAGACGACGATAAGCAAGAGAGCATTATAGCAACAACAACAACATCAGCAGCTACTGAAATAACAATGTACAAACGACGAAGGCAACACGGACAATCCGAAGGCAAACACAACACGCAAATGGCGCACAGCGTGTCCATTTTGCATAAGATTAAGGACATCGAGAGACACATTTTTTGTGCAATACCACAGCCAACATACCCACAGTTAAGCCCAAGCCCAAGCTCAAGCCTAAACCCATACCCTGGCCTGGCAGCTGGGCCGCGTAGATTAATGAGCTAGGGCTAAAACGCGACGATTATGTAAATCGACCGCAGCCAGTTAAAGCAACCAGCTGGCAACAGGCCTCCAAATAGTTCGTAGTCAATGTACATATCTATATAAATACACTATATATATATATGTGCTCAGTATATGTAGCTGTAGACGCAGACATAGCCGTAGACATAGTCGTAGTCGTACAATCTATATGCACGCCCACTAATGTGATTTATTTCTTGGTCGCCGGCGGCGCCGTTTTTCCTTTTCTCTCTCTCTTTTATTTACAGGGTGCCACTGGCGTAACTGGCGCTCGCGGCCCGGAAGGTCCGCAGGGGGAGAAGGGCGAACCAGGCGTCGACGGCATGCCCGGAGTGATGGGTCCTCCCGGACCTGCGGGCCCGCCTGGTTTGCCAGAGAGCTATGATGTGAGTACAAGTTGAATTCATTTTAAAAATTAATTAGAAGAATAACAAGAGTAGAAATTGTCGTGCTTACACAATTATCTTCTCATCACACGAACAGTTATTTTCTTTTAATTTAATATTCATTTAAGAGTTTATATCTGATACAATACTAACATTAAACATTAAACATTCACATTTACTTTACATTTATAATGTGCATACTTATGCTTTGGCATACTCGAGTGGAAATTAAAGTTTTATTTATTGTGTTCTCTTTTTTTAAAGACGAGAGCTATTTTATTCAAATACCCTGTACCAATGCAAATATGAAAGAAATAAGAATTTTAAGTCAGCTATGAATTCCACATGCGAGTACAGGGTATATCTCAGTCGCACAATCTCAATTTGCATACTAACGTCTCTTATAATTAACATAAATAATCAAATATTCTTGCTTAATGTTCACAGTTCGAACAGCTCAAGCGAGAGTATCGAATCTTCGGTCAACTGAAGATAGATTCAAGTTTCAATTTATTTGACTCTGTTTCATTTGAGTTGGGCCTTAAATTGCAACTCTTACGCTAAACCCAAAACGGTAAGGCGCTCGTCCGTTTATCTATATCCGACGGATGCTTCCAATCACGCACGTTCCTTTTATGAATTGTTCGCCTCGGCGGCGCATTTGGCGGCAGGCATCGGTCATGTTTTGCTAGCCACACAATTTGCCTAAACCAATTTCCTTCCTGGGGGAGGGACGCACGCTGAGCGAGCGGCAAGCGGCAAGCGGCAAGCGACTGCACCTGTACACTGTGAAAAATTGCTGGCCAGATTTGGGCCTGGCAGGCGACTGCTTCGACGGGCTGTCGGCTCAGGTTTGTTGTCGCAAATGGGTTATCTGCGCTAATAATCTTAAAACCACAAACCTACAACAGCAATAACAACAACAACAACAACAACAACAACAAAAGCAGCGCCTTGAACAACATGAACACCTCGCAGAAATGCCGAAACGTAAGTGTCCTGAACACGCAAACCGAAAACAAGCCAAGCCCAGTCCCAGTCTACAATGAAGTTCCCCCTTTTGGCGACGTGCAACTGACTCTGGCCCTGGCTCGTGCTCTGGCTGCGGCTCTGGCTCGGGCTATGGCTCTGCCTGCGGGTTTCTGATTCAGGTCTTACGGAGTGCTGGCATGCCAGCTTGTGGCAATTACTGTTATCAGCGCATGGCGCGCAGTTCACGCGGTTAAACGCGCTAACACGCATACAGATACTGACTCACACACACACACACACGCTCACACAAATACGCATTTGTATTGCCGGCTTTTAACCCTTTACGGAGAACAAAACTTTTATTTTTATTTTTGCCAGCTTTATCATCGCATTTCAACGCCGTATGTTGCCTGCTTGGGCGTATCTCAGCGTGCTATGTGTGTGACTGTGTGTGCGGTTGTGGTCGTAATCATTATCGCGCTGTTACGGTTATGAGAGTGTCAAGCTACTTATGGCTAACGCGCCAGTTAAATCAGACGCTCGCTCAGTCAGCCTCCCATTGTTTTATGCGCTCGTCGGGGGTTTATTATCATTATCGCATTGCAGGGGTAGGGCAAGCGGCGATAATGGGGCGTTTTTTAGAGGCGTTTCCAATTGTTGTTGCTCTTATTGTTGTCAAGCGTTTTGACCTTGTACAGCTATGTACCCAGAGAGGGCAAAAAAGCTTTTAAGTTTATTAGAACGACTTTTGATTGTTGACACGGAGACAACTTTTTCAAATCATTTTCGACGGCCCCAAACAAATGACAGCAGAAGGAGATTGGTGGAATGTATGGGGGCATCATAAATTTGTAAAAGTTGCAATTTTACTGCCCCAACTCGAACTTTGAACATTAACGAATTGAAATCATATAATAATACGCTTTAATTTCACGCCCATTGTCTTATGCTATATATTATAAACAAATCGTACCACAAAATATGTATTCTTGTAACAATCAACACATAAATAACAGATAAATTGGAATCCTACCAGGACTTTCAAGGTATAAATATTTAACAATTTCATTTTATGTTCCCACTAAACCAAAAAAAGAAAAAAAAAAACAAAAAAAAGAAAAACAATAACAGAAATATAACAAGAAAACAAAAGCACAAGTTTGCTCTGGGTAAGCATTGGCCGCAAAAACCTAATGGACTAGAACCCCTCGGCGTCATTAGTCCCAAGCATTAGGGGCGTCACACACACATACACACGCAAAATGGGGCGCATCCGATCATTAATCAAATTTCCCGTATGTGTGCGTGTGTGTGTGTGCGTGTGTACTACGTGTATTCTTGTAAGGGCCAGCGGTGCCATCAAAGGTCGCCCGCTGCTTAAAAAATGGCCCCAAAATACATGTATCGAAATATAAATTGTAGTACAAGCAAATATTTAACAAATTACTATGCTTACCTTCCCTCACACACACACATACACAACAGGAATCCTTAATGGGCAACTCGATGACCGGCCTACGCAGCTCCAGCGCTACCCAGGCAGGACCTAAAGGAGCGACTGGCGATAAAGGTGAAGCCGGACGTCCAGGAGATCGCGGTGAAAAGGTGAGCCAAAGTTCAATTCCAACATTTGTCCAGCACGTAAATATTTATGTGTGTGAGTGCGTATGCGAGTGTGTGTGAGTGTGTGTATGGTATTTATGCATTAAAAAGTATGCGAGCCACATTGTTGTGTCGAATAATAACTTCTGCTCTATTGATTACTCAATTGATTTCGGAGCTAGAAACATAAAATGCCAATGACTGCCAAGAACAAACTAAGAGATGGGAATTCATATCCCTGAGTCCCCCGGTCCATATGCTACATATAGACGAGCAGCTAGAATCGCACTCAACATGATATATGCCCCGGTTTTAGTTGTCACATTTGTACTTCAACTCGCAGCAAGTGGCCATCGTTTAGCTGAAACTCTCAGATTTATTGCACTGCATTCATTTGCGGGCCAGAGCTGTCCATAATTTGACGCATAAATTTCTATCAGACCAGAATAGGGGAGGGGAGGGCAGTTGTATTATTTGTTGCCTTGCTGGACCCAGTGTCATTTGTAAGCGTTTATAGCTCATTTGGTTGCCAGTTGATATGATCGAGGTGCTCTCTAGTTTATTAGAAATCGTTTACTAAAGTCCATACCCTCGAATGACCCCTGCCATTCATCCAGTCATCCAGTCATCCATTCATCCAGTCATTCAGCCATTCAGTTTGTCCAGTCTGTTGAGTCAGTGTCTGGTAGTTACTATTTCTACTACTCGCATTCGGTATTATTTTTATAATAAGTTTTGGCCATTTCTGCAGCTCATCCTGCTTAGACGGCGCTTACTTCCCTCCCATTACGTTTCATGCTATTTAGCAGCTTAGGGACCCGGACTCCCAGCGAAGCGCTGTGCCCGCTGTTGGACTCCTCGTTAGCAAGGGTCGGTGAGCTGGAAAAAGTGGCGCGCATATTTCTTTTATGTGGAACCTCAAAACTTTAAGCTGCCAACACATACTCTCAGGAATATAATATGTTTGTAGTTTGTTTGCCATTTCTGTGGGGCGAAGTTTGTCGCACGTGGATGGGAGCTGAGCCATGGCATGGCAGGGCATGAGATTGTACAATAGCTAGTGGGCGTTTCTCGGATTGTCAGCCGATGCTGTTACACCTCCAATTTCAGCTATGTGTATGTGTGTCAAGATTTATTTGACCTTTAATATATTACGTAAGTACATATATTTATGCTTATTTGGCCAGTGGCAAAGTTTTTGTAGGGCTGACTTCGGGTTCCATCTGAATAGTTGACTGCTGTCTTGCGCCACGCCCTCTCGGCAAGCCGCTGGCAAACCATACTTAATCGGGCGTGAAATAAAAAGAAATTATGCAAAAACCTCAGCATCCTAAAGCTGTATAAAAATCGATTTAGATTTTCTGATGAATTTACGCCCAATTTACGGCCACGCACGCACACACATGCCGAAAAATTCGTTATTGCATTTGAATTTTCGAAACTAATATGGAAATTAGCATTTTAAACGTATAAATACACGCACAATTAGGTACATTTCATTTAACTCAAAAGACAGACCCTGGCACCCCCAGCACGCCTCGCACAACGAGCGCGGCGGGCCAGGCCTCCTTTCAAGACAACCCGGAAGCAATCGCGCGTACTTTGTAATGTTACTCCCACACCCAGCTGCATGTGTGTGCGTATTTTAGGGCGTGTGGGTGGTTTATTAATTATTCATTAGTTGGCATCAAGCAGGCGATATGGTGTAAAGCCTGCAGCAACTCATGCAGATGCAGGGTCAGGTCAATTTAAAGCAGTCCCACACGCCAAGAGCGCTCATCCCATGCACAAAGGCCCAGACTCCAGATTTTGTACTGCTCAACCAAAACCCAAACCCCTGCCCGCAAGCTGCGAGTAGGCGCGCACAAATTTATGGCAAACCATTTAAGGCGCTGATGATGTGGAAGACGACACTGGGGATAAATCGGGAGCACTTGGTTTGGGTCGCTGGCTATGGCAGGGGCAGAGACTGGGACAGGGGCAGGAGCAGAAGCAGGAGCAGGGACAAAACTGCAGACCGCCAGTCGCTTTGCAAACTTCCACAAAGCAAAGTCCCAAAAAGGCAGAAGTACACATAAGCACAGCAGCTGAAGCGGCTGCTTGACTAGAATATACCCGAGCCAGGAAATCTTTTTTAAAATATATAAATTAATATTTACTTTTATTGCTAGCTTGAACTTAGTTATGGCATTTAAAGTCTTAAAGATATTAATAGAAACATAAATGTTGTGTCCTTTGTCAATCTGAGAATCGAAATGAAATCAAACTTTATGTATTCAACTGCAAATACTTGATTAGAAAACATACCAAATACAAGCATAATATATCGTTGATAGGTTTTTCGGGTCCGGGTACACAAAGAAACTCGGGGGCCTCGTCTTTTGGCAATGGTTTTGTGTTTTCAGGCTTGTCACTAGCATTGCATACATTCGGGCGCATAAATTTATATATGTTGCGTCTGTGTGCGTGTGAGAGTGTGTGCGTGTTTGCGTGTGAGTTGGTTTGATTGTGGGGATTGTGGATTTTAGAATTGATTTGATTTCAAAATGAGTTTGAATTGAATTTTTGCCGACGACAAAACGTTTGAAATTGAGTTTTACGGCCAAATTAGGCGTGAGTGCGCCCCCTGGGCATGTACCGTATATTTAATACCGTAAATCATTTTACACACACGCTCCTACAGTATTCTTTTTGTTCACTCCAATAACAGGGTCACAAAGGTGCTCACGGACCCGCTGGACCCAAGGGTGAGCCTGGGGCACCAGGCCTACCCGGATTGGCCGGCCAGCCCGGCGATGGCAACGGCACCAAGGGCGAGCGCGGCGAAAAAGGCGAGAAGGGCATGCGCGGCAGACGCGGCGGCACCGGACCAGCCGGACCAATTGGACCACCCGGCAAACCGGGACCCATGGGTGATATCGGGCACTCGGTAAGACACTCGTAACTTGTGCATCCATATTCATAAAGCGGGCCAACTTTCACATGCTTGCGCCCATTGTTTGTGTCGCTCGCAAAGCTCACTTATAGCCAGTCATCCAGCCAGCCAGACAGACAGTTGCTGGTCGCAATCGCGAGCTAGACAACATGCCAAAGCGAATCCGCGAAAAGCGAGCCCAACTTGGCGAAATAAACTCAAACGAAAAGTATTTTAAGTGCATTTTCATCACGGTTATTCAGGACGTAGCCGACGTAGCGCACGATTCCAATTGCAGTTACCCCAGAATTTCAGTTTCAACCATTATTCCGCAATAACAGCAGCTACAGCTGCAGCTGCAGCTACGACTGCAGCAACAAACATTACAATGGATAGTCTCATATAAAGGCAGAAGTTTGCTTTGGCTGGCTGCGCGTTTGCCAACTGGCAGCGTTTACCGCCTCTCAAAATCAAAGTCAAGCTACGTATTTACATGAATGCCGCGCTGAAATGAAGCCAAACGAAAGTTTGGCTCAATTCCTGGCAGTGCCACACGCAGAGCACCACCAACAACAGCAACAAAACATCAAAGCGTTGCAACAACCAAATTGTTGCACTCTAAACTGCAAAAGTTTCGCCGTTTTTGGCGATTGTTCAACTTGGTTTTTATACCCGAGTTACTTCACTTGTTAGTAGCGATTCCTGCCAGCCGTCGGACCCTGCCACATGTTTCCACTGTGTGCTACGCTGCAACTCCAAGAGTTGCCAGAGTAAAGGGTGCGCCCGGCTTGCGATTAAAAGAAATCTTTTCAGCGCGTAGCAAATGATTGGCTATCATTTATGAAATTCTCGTTTCTAGGGACGTCCTGGCATGATTGGACCGAAGGGTGATACAGGAGCCAAAGGTGCCAAAGGAGATGCCGGTGGCCGTGATGGAGTAAGTTTCAACAGTTCATTTTCAACAAATGGCTATTCAAGCCTGTCTATCCGTCTACTCCAGATGAAAGGTGAAAAAGGTGACCGGGGCAACGATGGCCGTGACGGATTGCCAGGACCACCTGGCCTGCCTGCAACAACAGGTGGCGGCGACGGTGACAGCAGTGGCGTGCAATATATTCCAATGCCTGGTCCGCCAGGACCGCCCGGGCCACCCGGCTTGCCAGGCTTGTCGATAACTGGACCCAAGGGAGAAGCTGGCGTGGACTCGCGCAGCTTCTTCGGAGATGCCTCTTATTACGGACGACCAGGTGAGCCGACGGCCGCTCAAAAACGCCAACAACAAATTGTATATACAAGCATAATTGTACATGTATAGTTAGGTGCTCGTACTTGTGCCATGATTCATAACTGTACATATGTGCCCACACACACACACGCACACAGTTATACAGACACGAACACACAGATAGACACTTGAGTAACTAGCATTCCTCCCATACCAATAAGATATCAATTCCAAATCATTCTGTATTGTACTCGTAATCAAGGTGCGCGCTCATCTTTAGACGAACTTAAAGCACTGCGAGAGCTGCAAGATCTGCGCGATAGGCCCACAGATGGCACAGCTGGTAAACCATCAAAATCAAATCATATCAATCCACCAAAGTTGGCGTAGTCAAATTTCCTTTTCGATGTTGCATGCCTAAGCATTCTTTCCACATACACAAATATATCTAACATATATGCATATATATATAAATATACATATATACATATACAGTAGTGCGTAAACACGCCCATCGTGTCCTTGGCATGCCTCGAATTGGGCTCATTATTTGCACATCATCATCATCTCATTTGCGTTAATGAAGTACATGTAAACATTTTGTTCAACATTTTTACAGAGTCATGCTTTCACTTACCGAAAACAAAAAGAAAACACACAGAACATGACAGTTAATGCTTGAAAATGAGCTCTATAGATTTAACCTAGTACCTGAGCATGAGTTGTTACCTTGCCTCACTGTAAAGGATGTCCTGATAAACTGCAAAGATAAATCAGTAAAAATATTAGCTTTGGCTTAAGAGTGGTTTGCAGGTCTAACTAAAAAATGACGCATGTTTTACCTTTCTAAAATATCTTAAAGAGTTCTCATCTATTCATTCTTAATTTTCGATTATTTCCTATTGTATTTGATTGTCATTCCAATACGTAGGCAAATTGAAAACGTTTTTTAATGACTCGATTTTGACTGTATATAGAGTAGTTGCAGTACTGAATTACTTATCAGCGCGCACAAGTTTTAGTGCAGTTCATTATGTATTTATGCGTATATAAGCTAAGTTATCTTAAATCGATGTTTAACACGCATGTCTCGGAATCATCATTTACAGAGCCGCCGCGCCAGACGTCGCACTCGCACAAGCATGAGGAGGCGGCTCATGGCTTTGCCATGGGCATGGGAGATGGCGAGGAGCTGCCATACTTTTCCGCATCATCATCGAACATGAACATGAGAATCGTGCCAGGTGCAGTCACCTTCCAGAACATAGACGAAATGACAAAGGTGCGTTACCACAGCGCACACATACACGCTCATCTGCATATGTCCATGGAGTATATCCGGGCATATAAATTTAGCAACGTATTTTTATTTATATTTTTATTTTTATTTTTTTTTAAACTCATTTAAATTTGGTGTCTTTGACGTTCCACAGAAATCGGCGCTCAGCCCACCCGGCACCCTGGCGTACATTACCGAGGAGGAAGCGCTTCTCGTGCGCGTCAACAAGGGCTGGCAGTATATAGCGGTAAGTGGAGCCTGGGTTAGAGAACTGGGTTAAATATTGGGATCGAAATGGGTCTGGGACTGGGATTGAGCTTGCGTTCGGGCCAAAGCAAACAAGTGCGGCTCGTGCGTGCGCTTTCAAATGGCAAATATGGCAAACAAAAAGTCGCTGGCGGACGCCATTATTTTATGGAGCAGCCTTTGCAAGTCGCCCAACCCATTGCCTGCTTTCTATATATTATGAAAATATGGCTTGGCAAAACAGAATAAAACAAAACAAAGCAAAGCGAGATAAAATGCAATAAAAATAGAAGGCTAAAGGCAGAGGCGGAGACAGAGGCTAGGCGGCAAGACGTTTGACGTACATATGTTTGCTTTGTTTATTTTTGCCTCTTGTTTTTGGCCATAAAATAGGGTTTTTGTTTGGCAATGTCCTTGTCTTGGCGGCTGCTCCTTCGGGCTTTTTTATTTGCACATTAAATGTTGCAGACGTTCTGACTGATTGCCAACGGATCGGGCATGTTACGCCCCGAACCGTGTGTGTCCCGTTATTCAATTATATTGACTCGCGCCTGGCTTTTCACTCAAGCGAGTTAACGATAGAACAAGAATTGCGCTACTCCTAAGCCAACACAGTCGTCACACAGGGAGGACGGCAGGAAGTGGCGCCCTGAACACGTAATATTGACGCAAAGCTGATGGACAAACCCAGGCAGATGTCAGCCAATTCAAGTCAACCCACTTGCTACAGCACATTCAGTCACTCAGCCAGCCAATCACACAGTCAGCCAGCAGCTGCGACGCTTCCAGAAAAAGAAGCAACAAAACAAACGAAGCTTTTATTGGCAAGGAATAAAACATGCATATGCTTGCAGAGACGCCCTGTGGGTCATAAACCTTAACTGGAGATTAAGAATAATATTAAACGGAATTGGAAATCGAATATTCTTACACAAATGGCACTTGGAATATTTTCAACTTCAGCACTTTCACTGCACACACTTCCACTCACTCGCCTGCAGCTTCAGCTTCAGCTTCAGTGTGTGCAGTGCATTACTCAACGCTGCCAATTAATCTTACCTGTCACCGCTGCCTGTCGATGTCGAAGTCGAAGTCGAAGGTAGAACTGGGCCAATTTGGCCTGGTCAGCACTTGTGAAGCGTACAAAAAATGACTTGAAGCGTCCACAAATTACACGCAAAATTGCACCAATTGCCAATTGCTTGTTACGCATTAAAGTGGCCACAATTTGTGAGCAGCTTTCAGCCGAGTTAGTTCCAGACTTGTGGCAATGCGTTATTAAAAAGTATTGCATGATTTTTGGGGCGCCTGATTGTGCACAGAGTGTACAATACATATGCTCAAAATTGTTCAAGATTCGATTTCCGCTTCCGTTGTTGCATGCACAAAGCCAATGCCACCACACGCCACCACCACCACCACAAGCAATGCCAGCACAGTACAGCATGAACTGTGGGCGTGGACAGCCCACAGACAACAACCAACTCGTTCTGCTGCTGCTGCTGCTGCTAGCAGTGCCTGCCATGTGCATGCTCAAAAGAAGGGAAATGGAAATGAACTCGAAAGTCAGCGCCAGGATGCAGGGTTGGGTCGGCAAGGGGCTGCTCAAATCTCATGCCTTTGACGGCAATATTTAAATACTTTTGGCAACAAAACGTGCATGGGGCTTTCTTTGAAAAATGTGGGTAAATCAAGCAAAAGCTCATTGACGCTGCCACAGCCTGGGCTTTTATGTCCTTTGCCCGAGCTGCCATCTGGATGCCTAAGCTACTTGCAGCATCAGTGGTGACACTCGCGTCCTAATTAGATTTCAGTACACGAGTCGACTACTTAAAGTTCAAAATAGTAATTAAAACTTTCGTCAGACAGCAGCGCGCACAGTGTCACCCAGTTCTATGCGCAGCTCAGCAAGAGGAAAAAATGAAATCTTGAATTATTAAAAATTACATTTAGTGAAAACTTTACTCTTGATGTTTATTAAATTGAAGCCTGATTAGCTAAAAGCAGCAACGATTCTCCGTCGCTAAGCTGTCAAATACATATTCCCATTACTTTGTTATAAAGTTAGCAGATATTCGTAGGAAATGGAATTTTAAATCATAATAGAGTGCCTGCTCCGGGGACAGTGGGATTTGTTCTAATGCCGGGCTCATACAATATTGATGCCTTGGCTGGCCAACTGAAATCGCTTTTAATTACAACTTACAGCTTGACTAAATGCACATTATTATCTACTTATCTATTGACAGCTGGGCACCTTGGTGCCGATCGCAACTCCAGCGCCGCCCACCACAGTTGCGCCGTCTCTGCGCTTCGATTTACAATCAAAAAACCTGCTGAATAGTCCACCTCCATTGCTCAACACACCGACGGTAAGTGCTCGCCATTATCTCATATAGCCACTTACCTGCGCACCCACACACAAGCATACATAATTGTTCTCTAGCTCTATCACAATGTCAGCGGGGCACTTGTGCAGCTGCAAATGTGCATCGAATGCCAAGCAAATATTCCAAACAGTTTGCTTATTCATGATAGGCATACTATCGCTGCTGCACTAGTGCCTCAAGTGCGTAGCCAAAACTCTCAAATTGAATTACAACAATAACGCCGTCATTCGATAGCTTTAAAAATTGTATAATTAATATCTAGCGAAGCATTAAGCAATTCAGTTAATAAACACTACTAAACCCATTTATTATTAATTGTTATTAAATGCAGTTTACAACCGCGCCCGAATACGAAACGGTAATTAAATAAAATATCATATACTGAATTCACACACACACACACACACACACTCAGACACACACCACAAAGAGTGCAAACAAAAAAGAATAATACTAAATCGAATTAACGTATCTCTTGCACACTCACACACATATACACACACACTCACACACAGTTAGACAGATAGACACTCACAATTAAATAATCTGATTTTGGTTTGGTTTGGTTTGGTCAATGAAAACGTTTCTAATTAGTCCAAATTGTGTTTTGAGTTCTGTTCCGTAGCGAGCAGCTGAATTTATGTAGTTTTTGGGCTTCGTTTTTGAATTTCTGTTATGATAATGAATAATTTATATAAAACTTATTGTATGTTAATGCTTATATCAATGTCAGATATAGGCCAACTCTATATCTATATCAGATACGCTTTTTAATTCCATTTCACTTTGTGTAGCTTTTGATTTATGCAGTGCATCTTCACTCAACTGAAAAAAGACTATAGCAAGAGTTGAGTGCTTCAATATATCCGTTTTTGTGTTTTGTGTATTCTTGAACCCATTTAAATATATATATATATCTTACAATGTACGACTTCTTGTGCCCTTCTCAAACTTGCTGCGTCGTCGCATAAAATTGTTGGGATCGTTAACAATGATGCTTAATTGAATACCATATGAAATGCTCGAATTACGTTCTCAGTGGTATCCGCGGATGGTGAGTGACCTTTCAGTACAATTACAAATACCGAATATACCCGACGACCCAGTGAATGCCCTCAAACGTCAAACGTTTGGCATGTGTACATACATATGTAAGCCAGTTCCTCAGAAATTGTACCCTCTGTAGGCTTGTTTGCATTCCCGAGTATTTCTCAAATTGAAATATCTCTGGAGTACCGCGCTATCGTATCGTACACACTCTTATCATTTGAACAGGCTCATAAGAAGTTGAAATTGTTGCCTCATCCTTAACATGGCTAAACAAACAATTCGCAGCCATTAAATTCTATATTAATTAGATTTCAAAATGCTTGACATAAATACCAAATTAATTTTCTGCCATATTTTCTGCGCTTCGCTCTTCCCAATCCATACAATAGCTTCGCGTGGCGGCCCTCAATGAGCCCTATGTCGGCGACTTGCAGGGCATTCGAGGCGCGGACTTCGCCTGCTATCGCCAAGGCCGGCGAGCGGGTCTTCTGGGCACATTCAAGGCGTTCCTCACCTCCAGGTAAGCACGAAGCGGACTCCAAGTCCTAGGTGTGGGGCCATGGGTGGACAGTGACTGAAAGACTGAAAGGCCGGGTGTGTCTTATCTGTCCTTAGATTTTTTACGCGTATTAGGCATGTTTTTTATGTTTAGTTTGGCACTGTGCGCACTTTAAGCTTGGCACTCGAAAATTTCGAGATGGCATTGCTCATACGCAGCGTTGGCCACCACCGGGTGGCGCTTTTGGAACTCATTAACTGGAATATAATCTTGATATTTGAAGCAAAGCAAGAAAAGCGCACAAAATATGAAAACAAAAGCCGCTAAAAACAATCTCGTGCAATTTATTTACACAGCGGCGAGCACACAAAGCGCTGAATGGATGCCAAAATAAATGGTAAGGCTGCCAGAGTAAAGCATAAATAAATAAAGAAATATATACTTATGCCATGCTTGGTATATGCATTCGCCTGCGTAGCCATGCTTAAGAGCTGGCTGATGGCGCTGGAACGACACGCAGCAGCCTCTTGGACACTTCGTAGGTAGTTTGTTTACCTGCTTTAAATTTTCTGCAGCAGACCCTTGGCTTAGTGGGCCACAGCTCGTATTCATAATCCTCGTGCTAAATTTATTTTCCTGCTTTTTCTTGTCGCTCATAGGGTACAGAACCTGGACTCTATAGTGCGTCCTGCTGACTGGGAGCTGCCAGTTGTAAATACCCGCGGCGATGTGCTTTTTAATTCCTGGAAAGGCGTCTTTAACGGCCAGGGCGGCTTCTTCTCCCAGGCACCAAGAATCTATAGCTTTAGCGGCAAGAATGTTCTCACAGATCCGTTGTGGTAAGTCCCACCATTTCAAGTATGAATGTAGATACATAGATACATGTTCCATGCAGGCCGCTCAAGCTAGTCTGGCACGGCTCGCTGCCGAATGGGGAGCGCTCCATGGACACCTATTGCGATGCTTGGCACTCCAGTTCGCACGAGAAGTTCGGCTATGCCAGCAACCTGCTGGGCAACAAGCTACTCGATCAAGAGCGCCAGCCGTGCGACGGCAAGCTGATTGTGCTGTGTGTGGAGGCCCTGTCGCAGGATCGGCGGAAAAAACGTGACGTCAGTAGCAGGTGAGCGGGGGACAACAATGAAATGCTTACACGTGTAGTATTGATTTGGCATTAACTTTTTATGGTGCCCGCCACGCACCCGAACTTTGCTCATTACAGTCGCAGTCACAGTCGCGGTCGCAGTTACAGTAACAGTCGCGGCGAGCTAGAGCTGGAGTTCACAACGGCCGAGGAATACGCCGAGCATTTAGATAATTTACAAGTGTAAGCGCCGCAAGTGTGGGGCAGCCAGCTCAAGAGGAGCATGAGCGGCATGTGGCAAACGGTAACTGTAACTGCAATACAATACAATACAAATATGAACAACACTACCAATGGCAGACTCACATACACACACAGGTACACATACAGAGCGACACTCACACAATACACACATTAAATGTAAACGTATATCATGGCCATGCATAAATACATATAATCAGCGAATTCCAAACTAAACCAAAAAATACTCAAGTAAGCGATGGATTAACAATTGCATAGTAAAATACGAACAAAAAACATAAATAACTACATACTTAACTTACGAGTAACTAGGCATATATATATAAATATATACAATAATTTGTCATATCTTATAATTTGGACAGGCGACAAGCATTTTGTACAAGCGAGTTAAACATTCGTAATTGTAGCCTAATACATAGTGAAAATTAATAACTAAGCTAAATATTTTGTAATTAAGTCACAGCGAAGGCGAATCATATTTGCTGTTGCTGCTTGTGCTGCCATTAAGGTTAGTCCTAGTTCCAGATCCAGGATCGACCATAATACCAGCTGCTCCCCGATAACATCAACAACAAAATCACTTTCACCACAAAGACCAACAGCAAGAAGCAATACGAACTGGCCAAATTAGACTCCTGCATCGTGCAGCAACAGGAGAATCCATGCGCAAATACATTTCCACATGGCTGTATACGTGTATAAATGTATTTTGTCAAAGACTTCTAAATGTGTAAATGATAAGGATACGAAACCAACAATGAAATCAAGAAAAACAAAAACAGAGCAAACCATTTTTAGCCCCGAAACCAACGTTTTTAACTGAATCAGCTCCAATGTGCATTATGTTCTATGCCAATCCAGTTTTCTATTCTACTTACTAATAATGTAGTCAGATTTTCTACATTGAAATATGAAAATACTCGTTATTATATAAATGAAGAGAAGCCCTTTTTTATATGAACGCAATAGAATAACTGAATTATAGCAGCGAGTGCAGTAATTTATATGTAATAAATGAATACGAATGCATATGTATGTACTCATATGTAATGTAACTTATTGTAATTCTAGATCGACTACTAACGAGTAATGCACAAATTACTTGTCCCAGTATAGTTAGTTATATAATTTAATTTGCATTTAACTATGCATTTCCAGCTACCGATTTGTAATGTAATAAATTAATAATGTAATTGTATAACTGAAAAGCGTATCATTTTTAATAATTACAATTTGACGAGAAGCAGCAAAAGTAATGCTAATTGGGTCAAAGTCAATCCCAAGCAATTATATACATACTACATACTAAGTGTCACATACATGTCTACAAACACACACCTGCATGTGTGTGCTCGCATGTTGCAAATAACTAATTTTAGTGAAATCAAAATGAATACTTAAATCCCTCTAGTCGTAAGCCTAATACTTCTATGCAGATTGAGAGTGCATATAAAATAAATAAAAATACATTTACGTATGATAAATAATCTATAAATGCAAGCGGGTATTTTACTCTCGGGCATACTCTATCCAAAGGTGTCGAGTGTTTAGGGATTGCAGCAGACATTTGTTAAGTGTGGCTCGATTCACAGGTGAGTGAAGTCGGTTTTTCGAAAAATATATTTTGTTAAACTCCTTCGGCTCTATACTATAAAATATATATATTTTGAAACATTTCTCAAAATTAAATCAAGTTCCAAATCAACTCCTGACATAAATCTTAACGAAGTCCATTACTCTCTTTCACAATTCATATTGATTCTCAAATCATGATGATTGTCAATTATGTCTCTAATATTTGTCATTAAACTTTAGCTCGGTATTTGTGCCGAAATTGTAGGACAACAAAAACAATAAGCCAAGCAATAAATAATTTGTATCTGCAACGGAGTTTGCACTATAGCAGGCATACTAGAATTTTAGTGGAAAGTAGATTATTCTTAGAGTGCCAGTGAAGCAGGAAATTGACATGATATTTCTTTGATCAATATTCTTCACTTAAGTTGAAATCAATTTTCATTTCCATTTTAAATTCCGAACTAGACATGCAGTAGCAAAAAAACACAGCAAATTTTGTTCCTTTCCATCTGTAAATGTTCATCGCACGTTTGATTACCAATTTAAATAATTTTTCACTTGAATTAAAGCAAATGATTTCAAACAGTGAGCGCTATAAAATAGCAGAGCCCCAACTCGATTCCTGCTCCCCTTTGCAATTCGGGGGCATGGATGCTTTATGAATTTCAATGGCAGGCAACATAGTTTCGTCGGTGACTGCGGATGCGGTCGCCGCCGCTATAGATACAGATACAGATACAGACACAGATACAGATATAGATACAGATACAAAACAGATACAGATTCAGTCAGATGATAGAGATACAAAACGCTTGTAAGGTAACCAAAGCAAGCTGACAATCGACTGAGGACAGACAACAAACAAATAAACAAGCCGACAGGCCAGAGGAAAGCCAACAATTGCGATTACGATTGCGATTGGGGCTGGAATTGGGACTGGGACTGGAATTGAGATTCAAATTGTGGTTGCGCTTGTGAGCGCCAGCAGGCAGCGCCAGCCACTTAGGCACAGAGCAATCAAATCAGATGAGCAGAATGAAATTTTAATTTAATGAATGAATACGAACATTTTTGGTTAGTTGATTAGCTGTGAAGTCGAAAGGTCATGTGCGCCCTGAACGAGAAACCCAACTGGTAAGCCAAACAAAGCCATTGAAGAGGCGAGTGCTGATTAAATGGAATCGTTGCCAAGGTAAGTAACCGTGCCACACCAACAGCAACGAGCAACAACTTATAATAACATTTTATATCTTTTGTAGTCGATTGCATTTTCAATTTTCAATTATAAGACTTGCTGGCTGCTGGCTGCCGGCGCCGACTGGAGGTTTGCGAGCGCAAACTTTTAAATTCCGACTGCGCCTGACAATGTCATTCATCATAACACGTTTAGCCGTGAGCTTATTAGATTCCACTTTTGTACCCAAGCGCGTTTACAAGTTTCTCTGCTTGTTTCTCGTTTTATTCTCCTTTGTTGTTTTCATTTTTTTTATTCCAAACAGAACACACGACTTGCTGTTCGGCAAACCACACAACTTACGCATTTGGCATCCTAAAGAAGTTGCTCCTTCTCAGTGTAAGTGTGTTGCTTTTGAACAAGGCACGTTTCGTATGTGTAGGCCGACACACACACGCACACACACACACACATGCATACATATGTCACGAATAAAAACAATTTATCATTTAGCTTATCAAGCGAGGCCTAACGTCCATTATTTTGCGGACGCTATGCGCAGAATTGTTTTTTGATGATAGCCATAGCCTCTAGCTGTACTAGAGAAGGACCAGGGGAGCAGGGGGCAGATGGTAAGCCAGGACAAGCGAAGCACAGCCAATGTAAATAGCTAAACAAATGCCAGAGAAATGATTATTGTGCTTTTTAGCTGTAGCTGGAGTAGCCAACTGACTCCGATTTTGATTAAAATACATTGCATTTGCCAGGTGCTCTCCACCCCTTCTTATATATTTATACATATAGAATGTCTGCAAGTAGCGGCAACTGCATGCACTCAAAGTCAAATATTGAAATGCCTCTGCGGCACAAGCGCGCAGACTGTGCTGCTCTAATAACCGACTTGTGCCCGTGCGGCCTGGCAAAATGTGTAACTGAAAACCAACAATTATGCATGCCAAACCGCAGAAACCGATGCACCGGCGGCTACAGCAGCGGCCGCAACAACGGCAACTGCAGCGGGAGCGGTACAGTCGACGGCGACAGCCACATCAGAATTTGCATAACTTTGTATGATTTTTCAACGGCACAACGCCACAAAATCATTCAAACAGGCACGGGCAAGCCAAGCAAAAAGCTCACACATATGGACTATTATATACCCTGTAAGGCTGAGGAATATCTAAATAGGTAGTATATAAAGCCAGTTTGAATACAAATTTAGCTCTTTTCTATTGTGTTTTTTAGCTCTCTTCATACGCAGCGTGCAGAGAGCAGTAGAGCACATATAAGAGTTAATAGGATTTACTACGCTAAAAGCCTTACAAAGCAGTCATTTGCGACCATTTCAATATGAATATGCTATATACATATTGAATTTCAACACATAACTCGAGTGCTTGGCAAATAATGTGGTCGTCCATCAGAAAACTCTTTTTAAAGCTCTTTTAAAGGGTAAAAACGCAGCTATCCGCTTTTATGCACACACACACACACACACACACTGACACGGTGTCAGTGAGCCGTCAACATTTCAACTTGTCATGCGAGCAGACACACACTCTTACACACACACACTCAAAGAGTGAGCGCAGAACACGGTCGCAAGGCGAAGACGTTGCCACTGGCCTACCTCCAATTTGTCGGGCTTCAGCGGGCATTCGATATCATGGCTTTTGTTGCATACTTTTGTGACTGCAACAACAGCAACAGCAGCGCCAGCAAGAGCGGCAACGTATTATTTCAGCTACGTTTTGCGGAAATGCAACTGAAAACTTGCAATTTGTTTGACGTTTTGGTATTTTTGTATGAATTTGTAATGCCCTGGACTTCAACACCTGCCAACGGCATTACAATATTGTTTGTTTGTTTGCCTTGTTGGTTACGTTTTTATGTTCTTGTCGTCGCTTTGCACTTTGCCTGCTGAAGGGCCGTGTCCATTTCAATGTGATACCCGCTGATCCAATTGCGTATGAATCGTGCTGGGCTGAGCTACTATTTACCATTCGGCTTATTGGTATTTAAACGGAAAAGCCATTGCTGCAGGCTCTTACACTCATACACACACACACACGTGCAGAAACACATATAAACAACGACTCACATGCGTATTTATGTTATGCTGCCGCAGTAATACAAAAAGGTAGCAACTTTTAATTGAAAAACTTGAGCACTTACAAGTTGCCAACAGCAGTGGGAAAAAGTCAAGGGGAATGAAGTAAAGGTTCACATTCAGCGAAATATATTGTATTTCCGCGCTACTCACTACACCTACGCACACACACACACACACGCACACACCCTCTCTCCTCTCTGTCTCTCTCTGCTGCGCCCTCTATTAGCAATTGTAGCAGAGTAACAGTTATAGAGCAACTGCGGCAATGCGCGGGGGCATTTGAGCTGGCTGGAGCCACGTTGAAGGCGCGTTGTCGCCGGCATTACTCAAGTTTTTAGCAATGTTTACAAACACAATAAGCAAATACACTGACGATAGAAACAGCAACAACAACAACAACTAGAGTATCAGAAACAGCAGCGACAACTGTAAGCGAGTCACCTGCACAGGTGTTGCAGACTTAAAGACGCCGCCGCCGTCGCCATTGCCGTCGCAGTTTCTGTTTCTGTTTACACGGAAAGTTCTTCTGCGTGGGCCGCCGTTGACTAAGGCGAATGGGCGAATAGTTATAGTTGCCACTGTTAGCTGGAGCATGCAGCTAGCTGGCTAAGTAAAGTCTGCCAGCAGAACGTGCGAATAAGTTTCAGCATTTTGTAGCTGCGTACTAACGCAAATATTTACCCACTGGTTAACTAAGCAGCAATGCCGATTTAATTTAAAGCCAACTGCGTGCAGCTTAACAGGGGAAATCGATAAGGCTGAAGAGCATGCTGCGAGTATTAAGACGAAACTATCTGTAGATTAAAACTAAATAGAAACACTTCATATATAGAATTCGTTTTAATGTATAATAATGTGTTTAACCACTGTGCACACGTGTATCAAATCAAAGTGAAAAGCTTTTAACTGTCAGCCATTAACTGAAATTGGTTGCATAAGCCGAACAACCAAATATTCAGCAACAACTGCATAATTTAAATTATGATTTGGCTTTTGCGACTAAATCTGTTTTGAGGGAGCCCTAATTGGTTTATGCCTAATGTATAACTATATATGCCCGGTGCTAAATGTGCTGCATTCAGCGTATGGCGGCAACTGTTGCAACAACAACGGGGCAGCGATAACGTTGCACAGGCAAATTGCAACTCGCGCAGCGGCAACCACACTGATTATCGAGTGCCGACAATAGCAGAGGGGGTCCACACCAGTTGAAAGCCAATAGTAGCAGCACCACCATCACCACCGGCACCACCAATGCCCCAAAGCCACATGGCCTCAGCTCAGTATTTCATATAAACCGTAAGCCTATTAATAGCCCCCGTCTGCGATCAGACAAACAATTAAAATTGACGGCACTTTTAAGCGTTCGCCCAGCACTTGGCCCCCTTCCGCCCAAAGGGGTCCGCAGGGCTGCCCCAACAATGGCATCCATTGTTCAATTGGGCGTAAATGTGTTGTTGTTGTTGCTGTTGCTGTTGCTGTTGCTGTTCTGGCACAGCACGTGCTAACCCTTTGGCTATTGCCGCTGTTGCTCCTCCTGTTGCTGCTGTCGCTGTTGTTGCCCATGGCTCAAACAAGGCGGCGATTTGCCAGCTCCCTGGACACGTCAATTAATCGTTGGCCAGTTTGTCGCTGCTGGCCAACACACAAAGTGCTTTGTTATTTGTGGCAGATTGTGGCGGATTAGCCAGCGATTAAAATGTATGCTTAGTACATCCAATAAATCTATATGTAAACCGATCAAATAAATTAGCAAATACAAACTCTAAATAATAGTTGCTCTTGGGTGCATAACAAAAAGTAACTCCACATGATTTCCAATCAGTTTTTAAACCTTTAAAGCTCTATCGAAGCTTTTCACAAAGTTTACAAAGAGCTTAAGCTCGACAAAGCTCTCACAAGCCAAGCTTTTTAATCTTAGTCGAAACACTCTCCCACTTGACATCACTAAAGCCTTAGCAAAGCTGTAAAGCTCTGCACTTTCTTTAACTTCAAGCTTTAAAGCTCTAGCAAACTTGTCTCTATTTTGCGCTTCAAAGTTTATGAAACATCAATTTAAAATGCAGTTCTTTTGTATTTTTTTTGAATTTTATTTAATCATAATAAACAATGCAAATCCAAAGCATTAAAATGTAAACTTTATACTTAACATACGCTTCAAATATCGAGCTGTTTACCATAATTGTTAAGTTTGCCATTAGCACATACATATGTATATAAATATGTATGTATAAACCCTCAATCGTTACTTATGTAGCAATCCACGAAAATTGTAAATATATGCACTTCTTAGAATAATGCAATATTCGCTTCGAAACTTTAAATAACTTGTATGTATGTACGAGTATGTTAACGCATTTTGATCAGTTTAGATATCGATTGGTATATAGTTAGTTAGTAGGTATATATTTATATAAGTATTGGTATATAAGTATTCTTGTGTATATGGTATAATGTTAATTAATTTGGTCTTTGTTTCATTTGGAAATTGTTAATTCCTTTAATCATAATACTTTTTAGTTAAATTGTAAGTTAAACTCGCGAAAATTGTTGCTGTTGCTTAGGTTAAATTGAAACTCGAATTTATTACGCATAAATTCGGTTTAACGCTATACGTGTATATGTATTTGTATATGTATATGTATGCATGTGTCTTAGTATAATATATACTCATATGTACTCATTGTATATGATTATGTATTGGCATAGAGTAGAGTAGCTTTAAATAGTTTTCTTCTGTTTTCGGTCTGGTCTGTTCGCTCGGTGTACAAGTTTATCAATAGTGTTTAATTGGACCCCTTAGGTCGAGACTTTGTGGAAATAGATGTAGTTAGTGTAGTGGAGCTCCGTAAGGTGCTAGGAAAGAAAAACTTTGGCTTAACATCAACAACAATCAACAATAACAATTAAACAATGGGTCGGTCGCCTCATCTCAAGTCATTCAAATTCAACGTTTGTTATTAAATCTTAAACCGAATCGAATAACAAGTACTAATTCCAAGTACATCCTAACATTATTGTCGCCTGCATTTGTGTGTGTGTGTCTGTGTGTGTTCTGTGCGTCAATTCAAAATAAGTGCTGATAAAATTACAAAGAAATACAAAAATGTAAATATATGTAGTAATAGAAATAGAATAGAGTAATTGGTCTGTTTGCTTTGAAGAAATTCGAGGTGCGGAGGAAGGGTTGGAAATCGTGTTTAAATATGCGTAATACATATATATATATATATAATTCTATATTTGACTTGTTTGCCTTGCTAATATTATAATAACAATGCGAAAAATGCAAAATGCATACATATATAATATATATATATATGTAATTTGCTTGCTTGCCTAAGCTAGACACCCACATACGAGTGTGTTCCTAGCTGTTATGCATAAGTATGTGCTCAAGTATTTACATTACATAACGAAATCACCCAAACGCTGCGTTTAAAATTAAGATCTCTCTATCTATCTCTCAGTTTCGCTCATTGTCTGTGGGCCCAGCCACCACATACTGACTCCTTCTCACTACTATCACATGGACGCCAAGAATCTATGCCCCCTGCATTCACATGAGGGCGCAGCGGTTCCAGCGGGATGTATTACGCACGCCCTCGCCGCCCTCGTTGAGCGCCATCGTCTTGGAGCGCATGAGATTGAGGTCGGTGCGTATGCTGGGCCGCCGTGCATTGGGCGTGACTACGCCGCAGGCATCACTGAAACGTCGCTTGATGGATAGAGCATTCTTCTTGGTGCCGCCCACGGCTGAGCCATGCGGAGGCAGCGGCGAGGGCGCGCCAAAGACGGAGACAAGGCGTCGATGCTGGTTGGGCGTCATCTCCAGCGGCAAATTGGAAACCGTAAATAGGGCATGGAACAGATCGTCGATGCGATAGTTCTGGCGTGCCGAGCATTCCACGAAAGTGCAGCAATTGTCCTGCCCAGCTATGTAGCCCATAACCTCGTCCAGCTGCACGGTTCTGTTCGAATAAGGAATTTAATGAGAAATTCTCGAATTATTATTCTCAGCCTACTTGAAGTCACGATCACATTTATTGCCAGCCAGTATCATGGGTATTTTGGGTAGACTCTTCTTCTTGAAGCCCGAGCCCGGGTTCAGAGCTGCCCACTTGGTCTCGAGTATGTTCTCTCGCAGGCGCACTACCTCCTCAAAGGACTCGCGCGAGTCCATGCTAAATACCAATATAAATAGATCGCCTGCAATACAAATCGATGCAATCAAATGAAATATTTAACAGTATTTGATTTAGTTGATGCAAATTTATTGCTTATATATTGGATCCTATTTCACGCACACACGGGGAGTATAGCAGTCTGCGTGTGTGTGTGTGTGAAGGAACAAATAACTGACTTCGGCAGCTGAGCCCCAGCTGTGCTTGATTCTTATGATAATTTATAGCACATTAAATAGCGCCGGGAACTCAGCAGCTTAAGTGATGAAACGTGCGTTTGATATGATTGCGGCTAACACTTACACACACACACACGCACACGCACACACACCAGCTCTTATACAGTAAGACACTCATACATTAACAACAGACATCCGACTCACCCGTTAGAAATGACAAACGACGCATTGCGGGAAACGGATGATAGCCTGAAGTATCCAAAATATCCAATTGAAAGACCTCATTTCGTATGCGATACAATTTACGATGAAACTCCTCAATAGTCGGCGTATAGGCCTCCTCAAAGCGATTGCCCAGAAAACGTGCCACAATCGACGACTTCCCGGCGCGTGACGACCTGCAAAGTGGACAGCCTTTTAAGTACACACACCAATTCGGCCAAGTCGAATAGCTTTGATTATACGAATACCCACCCCAGCATCACAAGTCTATAGCAGTTCTTGGCAGACGGCAGGCTGTCATCGCACAGCGAGAGTCCAGCGCCAGGGCCGTAGATGAAATCGTCGGCCTGCTCAATGGCATCTAGATTGGAGTGGTGCTCCAGCATGTGAGCCTGATGGAGCTCAGCGGTGGTCACAATGCGGCTGCTGGTTACGCCGCCGTTGCTGCTGCCCGGTGCATCGTCCAGAAACGTGACCACATGGGCTCCGGCTCCGGCTCCGGCTCCAGCTGCTCCGGCAGACTGCGGTGGATCATCGGTGGGCGTTGATCTGTGGTTCGCAGCGGCTGCGTTTGGCTGTTGATTGCTATTGGTTTTATTGCGAGCCCTATTGATGCTATTGCTGTTGCTGCAGCTATTACTGCTACTTTTGGGTGGCTGCGGTGGTAATGTTGTTGGCGTCGGGCTTTGTCCCGGCTCGTTTAGTGCGACATCGACGTAGTTGTTGTTGTTGCTGCGCGCACAGAACCAATTTTTGCAGCGATACATTTCGTCTGTGTCATTTCCGCCACTTTAATGGTCAACTGCGTAGCCTTGCTGCTGCCCGCGCTGCGCTACACCCGTTGGACCAGCACGCGCTCTCGCTTATTACGCATACGCAGAGTGCAACGGGCAAAGGGCTACCTGTGCGCACTTTATTACTTGTTTTCGCGCTGCCACAAAATTCGTTTTCGGCCCTGTTGCTGCTGCCTGCAATCACTTTCTGTATGCGATTTGCATTTTCAATCAGCCAACTTTGTCGTGTTGTACATTTGCATATATAGCTGCGTTTCCGATTTCTGAACCTGTTAAAAACAGAACTTTCCCAGCTTGCTCGCAGCTCTTTTTGCAGCTCCGATGCTTTTTACTTGCTTTTATCCTAGTTTAGCTGCAAAGAGAAATGCATACATTTAACACGCAAACACGTAAATATAAAATACGTTGCGCGAATTGCATAAAAAATGGCCGAGAGTTGGTCTTGCCAGTGCCCAAAGCTGGCAACCAACTGGGTAATTGTACGGGGCACGAGACACGGCAGGCATTCCAGCCGAGTAAGCCACATAAAAATGGCGCATACAAATTTCAAATAGACTGCACTGGCACTGTCCATTAAAAGGGCTTGACGTCGTCCTCAGCCAAGCACCATTTGGCTTCAATAATGACCATCTTGCAACAAATCTAATTAACTTTGTTTTGGATCGCTACGTGTTCAGGATACTCCAACAGCAGCGACGCCCCGTCGCCTCCTGGCCCGTTCCGCAGCCGATTCAAATGCAGGCGGAACAACAAGGCAATGGACGGTATCAAACCGGAAAGTGCCGACCGTAATCGAGTGCAGCAAGTGCCTTGGCTTGAATTTCGCCCATTGGAGAGCATCGCCCAGCTTCTGTTCACATTTTTTCAGTTTTTCTTTTATACAAGCGCTACTTTTCAAAGGAATTCGGTTGGAAAATATGCAAGAACAAGAACTCGCCACATAATGAGTATGGCTGTGTGTGTGTGTGTCTGTGTAATGCTCACTAACTCGCTCATACAGCAACGCCCAACGACCTTGCTGGAACCCCCTCTATTGTTGCTTGCTTCCACGAAGCTGGCATTTCGCTTTGGCTCTTTGGTGCAGAAAATGCCATTTAAAGAACTACTTGAAACGATATCATAATTGAATTCGGGTTTTTTCGGCCCCTGCTCGCAGCCATTCTCATGTGCTTCGTAAGAAAATACGCAAATTACTTTGGGCCGAGAGGAACGCAAGGAAACGCCCGAAGACAATGGAGACATTTGAAAGCAACACTCACACAACCACACACACATGCACAGACAAAGCCAGCGAACCCAGCAATGTGCGAGGGAAGACAAACAACTTAAACATTTTTACAACTGTCAAATACCACGCACTTGCTCAGGCTGGGTGGCTTAAGAGAAGGGATTAAAAAACGCTTGCAGGCCATTGAAATGAGTAAAACCCTTGAGGAGATTTTTGACTTAAAAAGAGTTTTTCACTCCATCACTACGGCTTATGTACTCATAGTTCAAGCCAGCCTGCTACACTGCTAATTTATGCTACATAGATAATCAGGCTTAAGTGTTTCTCAATGATCCCATTCGGTATTCATTTGCTTTCTATCTATATATTGCTAACTTTTTTGCCTGCCATCTAATTAGTTTCCTTTTAGCGTGCACCATGAATTATCAAATCCAATAGCTTCGCCTGTAGGGTATATAAAAAAACAATCAAGTAAATGACAGCGCACTTCAAGCTGTGCACCTGGCTGAAAGCTGCTAAGAGCAGGGCATACTACTCTCCTGTAATTCATTTCAAGACATTGACAGCGTAAATTAGAGCTGCGTGGCATATAAAGAGTGGCTTTAAAATAAAGCTGTGACACAACTAGCCTGGGTTCAGCTCGAATGCCACTGTAACTATTTCGATTTAAAGTTCTTCTAGCATAAATATTTAGACAGTTAGTTCAACCGACAAGTGAGCGTGTTTATTTAATGCGACTGTCCAAAATCCAAACAATATGGAACTGTATAGATAGGCCAGTATCAAACCCAACCGTCAAACTATCCAAAGTTTCATTGATGTTTAAAAAAAAGCTTTGCATACTTTTTTGCTGCTGTTTAGAGTTCATATATTTTACTGCACGCTTTTGTGGTAGTTAATTAACAGAGAGTTACAGCTTTTGGTCTATATCCCTGCTGATTTTCAAATAATGTATGAGCACAGACCCGAATGCAGACAATTACTTAACCGGCATTATACAAGTTAGGCTCCCAAATAACGATTGATGTGTTCTGAGTGCACACAAATTATTCAAAGTTCCCCATGGCACTTACACTGTGTATATGTATGCATGTGTGTGTGTGTGTGTGTTTGTGTTTATGTCCCGCCCAACCATTGTTGGCGACGCCTCTGCTCATGGCACATGCTGTCCAAATGGCTGCCAACTTGCAATGTGCTCAGCAATTTCTCATATATGCTTACCGTACGTGCATATAAATGCGCAAGGTGTCACGCCCAGCCAGAACCGAAACTGTGATCCAGACCCAGATCCAGACCTGCCGCAAGTTGTCATGTGCCAAGTCGAACTAGCAAATGCAATCGACACCTAATCTGGCGCGTACATCTGCGTTTTATGTGCGGAGCGTGGCGAAGAACAACGGCAGCTACACAGCTGTGTTGGAGAGGAGGCGGGACAGCTCGTGAGCATCCCAATCGCAATGCTAGCCAAAAAAATATGAGCATGTTGTACGGTTTCAAGCTACACAGATAAGCTTCGAGATAGAGAAAATGCTCGCTGGCTCGCTCACTCGCTCACTCGCTCAGTCGGTCTGAAACCGCAAACAAACAGCTAGCATCAATTACAGACCAAACAGTGAGCGAGATAATCGATGGGAGCGACTGTTCGAGTATATTTGCTGGGGTTATCAACGCCTCGTATCAGGCGAGTACCTGTTCAGCCCGCACCGCAAGGGCTCAGTTGCGCGTTGACAAGTAAAGAATTAGAACGCCAATTTATTAAGTTCCTTTGCAGAGTATATAATGTCAACGACTCCAACAAGTGTAGCAGTTACCCAAGGCGACAGAAGCCAGCAGCAGCAGCACCAGCACCAGCAACAAGGCATTCGAGTAAAGTACGGAAAATGTAGCATTGGAAAGCTGCTGAGCACAGCTGCCATTTTGGTAGCCCTGCTGCTAGTCGTGGGCGCCATCTATATGCATGTAATGCAAAAACATCATCTTGGTCGCCTAAATATTGAGCTGGCAGCGAATAGAAACGAAGACGGCGAGGCGACACCCCCCTTCCAAGGGGTCACAATGCCAGCCGTGGGTAAGTTGAGCTGCTAATTGGGAATTATTGGCTCGAGTTAAAGATGAGGTTTATTAAACAGATTTTGACTATCAAATAATCATGAGTAAAACGAATTAGGTATATATCGACTATTATAGACAACATATACTCAGTCACTTTAATATCAAAAACGCGCTTTAGCTTGCAACCTTAGTTACACGTTATATAGAAAACTATAAAAGTATTAAAGTGGTTTACGAGAATTTGGCGTCAAAGAATATAAATTACTATGAAAAATGATATCGGATCTCACTCAACTTCATTTTTTTCTGTATTTCAGCTGCTTTAGGCACTCAGCTGCTTGGCGATGAGTGTCTGGAGTGCATCGCGGCGACAGCCACAGCAAATAGACCGGCAACGTGCCATTCAAATCCATGCAGCATCTATCGGATCTCCAGGCCCTATTGGCAGGATGCGGTACGGCACGCAACATACGTTGGTGCCGATGGTAATGTGAATTTATTGAAAGAACAGCTGGCTTTGCTTGACCATCGATTAATCCAACGTAACACTATTCCAGATTATGAGATTTGCGTATCAAATCCAGGCTGTGCTACGGCAACTGTGCGCAACTTCATAACTTCTTATGCAAGGGATTGCGATGGTGATGGAGTGATCCGGTGTCGAGATCACATAATGCTGCATCAACTGGGTCCAACCGGATGTGTGATGAGCTCGCTGCCTGTGTTGTCCCAGAACCGCATGACTGATTGTCTAAAAGCGAAAGGCCTTGAATAGAGATGCGTCTCTTTTCCCTGAGCAAGAATATATCCAAATGGTGGTTTTTATTGATTCTAGCAGCGGGTGGGTCACCAAACGTTCCAGAAAAAGCTTGGCAAAATCAAAGCCAGAAAGTCATGAAACAATAGCAGGGCACAGAACTTGTCATCATGGAGGCTGGACCTGACTTCGCCTTTGCCCAGTATTGTTTGCTCATGATACGTCATAATCTGTAAATGGCAAGTGTATGGCGAGTGGGTGTGACACGGTGGTTGTGTCAGCGAAAGTGGGTTGTTTATTGTGAAAAGCCATGGTCATCAAAAGGCAACAGAGACTTACGGGTAACACCAAGCAAACTTGCGCGACGATGAACAAGTAAAATGCCCAGGTGGACTCGAGGACTACACAAAATATAAGGCAATATATGCAGAGCACAAATATACAGCAGCTATACATGAAGAGCAAGGTTCCATAATTCGTCAGGTCAATCTGTGTGGCAAGCGAAATGAAATTGATATGCATACGGTACTGTTTGCAGCCTGGGACTTACCGGGAAATAGAACACCGCTATCAGAACCACGATCATGATCACGAGAACGATAACAAAGCCCAACATTATAAGAATGTAGTGACTCCGCACACATAAAAGACTTATGGCTAAAACCTGCGCCTCAACCACAACCAAAGTAACCAACCAGTTAGCGCACACCCTATGCCGCAGCTGTGGACTGACTGCGAAAACTAGGAAAAAGAGCAGGCCCATGAAGAATAGGACAACCATAGCCGACTCGTTGCTTAAAATTATGTGGTGGTCTACAAGCCTGCAGTACAGATAAGAGTAGAGTAGAGAGGAGTGGAGTGAAGTAGATTAGAGTTCAAATATTACCTCGTTATTGCAACTAATGAAAGCCATTGCAATAGGGCAAATACCGCATATGTGATAAACTGAGCAAATACTTGGAAAACGAAATAGCGTCGGTCCTCGGGATCCTCTTCCGTATCCTTTTTAATGGAACCGAATTTGGGGCGGAAATCAGTCATTATAACAAGGAATTTGGTATTGTTTACTTCGACGTAGATTTAAAACTAATGTAACTAACGTAAGTCAGAAATGACATAAACTATCCGTTCAAAACTCTGAGCCTGCTTTCAAAATACAAATAAGAACATAACACAGCAAATTAACGCAATAGCATTTAAGAGTCGTACATAATTGAACTTTGGAAACTTTTCCATCTAGCAACATCGCGAACAAATTGAACGTCGCAAGTGTGTAATAATTAAAAGTTTACACAGCACTTACAACATGAGGCGCCACCCGAACCCGTCCGTTGCCAAAGTTTGTTGCAACTTTTTAAGCAAACAGCACACGACCTCAAACTTGGACATCATTGGATTTTCAATGCTTGGCAATAGTTCAATTTTAACCCAGTTATCTTAACTCCCCAAATTGAGATCTTAAACGTAAATGTGCGGTTGAGTGAGCAGCAAACACTGCAATTAACTCTGCAAGGAATTTGCTAAAAAATAATTAAAAATATATATAAATTTGTGTTTTTCTTCTTTTCTTTTGAATTCTCTTTGGCGCGTCTGCCATAATGAAAAATTCACATGGAAATGCATAACGCTCTGCTATTAGTTTTCACTAACAAAGAAACAAGAGATAATAAAAAAATAGTTTGCATTTTGTTATGAACGAAAACTTTTCCAGTCTTGACGGCCAAAGACTCTGTTCACAGCAAGGAGCACAAATAAGAGAAATTCAACGAAATTTTAACGATTCTGCTATAGAATTATTGCCAATATACAAATGTATAGAGTTGCTTTAAATTAAAAACAGTTCACAGTCAACAACAGGACTCTGATAAACGACTGTTTGGCTTTTTCGTACTCCTGGGAGAGGGTATAATTTATAATACCACAGGGCGTATGCGTAATGCTAGCAGCGAGCGCAGATGAACTCTGGATTCGAGAACTCTTTCCAGAGTGTTACTTTAATTTAATATTGGCATGGGTCCTTTGCCTGTGCCAATAGATATTAAATGCGCCATTCGCGTTCCTTCGCTTTGATTGCCGTAAAGGTAATCATTCAATCGCATGACAAGTGAATATTACTAGACTCAATGAAATGCCCAAGTGGCCCACAAAGCCAACGAAAATCTATATAAAACTGTTGCCCGTGCTGGGGTGAGTCAACACGTTGTTGTCTGTGCATATTCAATTGTATTCAGCAATTGTAACAAATTAACTAATTGCAGATGCCTATCGGGTGTTTCGAATAAATTCAAGCATTGACTGATTGTTTAACTGCTTGATTGATTGACGGCCAAGCCGCGTTCGTGGCTACTGGCAAAAGTTTCGCTTGAAAGCAATTACAAATCATGCTCAAGAATTCACGCCTCGTCGCGTGTTCATGTGCGGGTTTCGAGTGGACCTTGCCAAAGGTGTTGGCCAGCATCAAATGCCGCAGATTGACGCTAGAGAGGACACGCACGAGGCTCAAATTGATTGCTTTATGGCAGTCAGTGTAGTGTAACATAACTGGAATGCAGCTCAACTTGCGCAAAGAATTTGTTCCTTTCTTTTTGCCAGCTGCTCAATTTCGTGCGCACTTTTTGTCGCTGTTGCTGCCGCTGCTGCTGCGAACTTTTACTGAATTTACAGTGCACAATTTGCATGCAGTGTGCGTGCTAGCTGCCTGCCCTCTCCTCGCCTCTCCTCGCCTACTTTCTCATGCATTTTTTGTACTTATTTTTTTTTTGGCAATTTTGTTTGCACTGCCACCGACGGAGAAGAGGCCAATGAAAATGTAAAAAATTTATCATACTTTTGCTTGGCTTACTAACAGGATTTACTATATGAAATTTACATGGCATTTGGCGCATACAAAGGGTCAAAGGGTATGCGACAAAGCACAAACGCCAAGCATTAAAAATATAGCTGTAAGCTGAGAGCTTGCTGCAAATTGACTGTCAGACTATGAGCTACTAATACCCTGTACCATTTAGCAATTGAAACAAGTTAATGCAGTTCAAGGTGCGAGCTCAACGCTCACTCATATATTAATTACATTGTGTTATTCAAGAGGTATATGCCCTTTGTGCACAGGGTATAGAAAGGGTTGCCAGCCAGTGGCTGCCATAGATCGCCGGCAATCAGCAAGCGTGCCACATAATTAAGTGCACATCAGAGATTAGCCACAAAATGGGCGAAGCGCTCTAGCAAAGGGACCTCCAGCGGCCGCAGGACATAAATCCCGAGCAGCGTCCGTAGCTTTTATGTGCATATTTAAATACGCATCAACAATGGGAAGCTGACACGAGGCTAGAGACAAGAAAACGGCTACGGCAACAATGTCAACTGACAGCAAAGGCAAAGACGACTTTAATGTCTCTGTTATGGCAATGGCCGCCAGCTGAATGCTCAAAGCTGAGGCGCTTCATTAATTTTATAGTCGACGGGGATGCCGCGATGCGTCAAGAGCTAAGAGCTGTGAGAGAAATCTGAGGTCGGCAGGCGTGCCTTTTGCGGTGTGCTTAAACGTTGTTCCTGGTTTAGCTTTGAACCTGTGAGGCTGCTTGAACAAAAGTTTTGATTGTCTAGCCACGCACTAATACACACATCCGACCAGAGCACACAGCTCGCAAACAACTCACTCACATGTAAGTGGCTATGTGTGCTTGGGTGTGTGGCCTGCCAACTCAAGCGGTTAAACGTGAAACTTTTTTAATTAGAGTTGTGGCGGGCAACGCATGCCACGCTGGCGCATTGTGTAAACAATTTTCGTAATCTTGGGCGCATAGTTCGGGCGCGTCCTGTGTGCTTCCTGGCTGCCTGTCACGGCATTTGCCTTCATGTTGCAGCCAAGGCCAATACAAATATCGAGGCAAAAATGCTCGTCAAATTGGCAACAGTAGCCAGTCCTGTTATTTTCGTGCTAAATAAAATTCACGAGCCTTCGTAATAAAAACGCCCGAGCGCAGCGAGCAGAGTGCGCGACAAAGGACCACAAAGGACCTCCAGACAGCACAAGCAGCCAAGAACAACCAATGAGCTGCTGAACGGAGCAGCTGTCACCACTTGGCAATGACAATGGCACCCTCGAGAGCGGAGCGCATAAATTCGAGACATCTTTTGTGCAGCGCTAAATTCACAACAGTTTGCATTCATTTAATTTGGCTATTATCAAAAATAAAAAGGCTTTGCGCTTGATTGAAGTTTCTAAGGCTGCCTTAGCCCAGGGCTTACTACGGCTCAAAATTATGCAAAAGAACAAAAAGCTTTGATATAAAAGACTAGACCTTAAGATATTCATAGGCAAACATAATACTAGGAACTACGTGGCAGTACGCACATAAATTTATGCGGGCAAACAGAATTTATAACTTAGCTAAATAATAATTATTTTATAATCCAAAAACATTGAAGCTCGTTCGTTGAAAGTTTCCAATTGAATTTCGTCCAAGATTCTGGGCATTGGATTCGACAGCAAAGTAAAAGAAATTGAAAATAAGTTAGGCTCAACTTAGTCCATAACAAAAATTAAACTGAACAGCAATATTAGATTAAGCTAAAACTATTTGACAAGCCAAGTCTGACAAAGTTATGTGCATTTAAAGTTTTATGTGTCCATTCGCTCCATAAGCACGAGCATTTCGGCTTAAGCTCGCTTCTAATCCAATTTGCTGAAGCTGTAAAAGCATAATGCAACTCGTAAATTGTGTTGTTGTTCATATAACGTAATTATCGAATGACTGACTCTCATTGCCGCGATATGTGCGGAAAATGTTGCGTCTTTGCATTAGGGCGAAAAGTGCTTTTCGCAGCAACATAAAACGTCCGCAGCAGCTGCAAATATCCGCAGGATGCGTTGGCTGTCAATGTGATTATGGCAACGCAATCAGGCAATGATGTCCTCATCCACAAAGCACATCTTCCTGTTGTTTCTATCAATTCCTACTGCTGCTGGCGTTCGCCTCCACGAAATGCTGATACTGTATATGCGGAGTATACATAAACGAAAAGCTATATCGTTACAAATCGCTGGCTTGTTTGCGTATCAATGAAGAAATAGCCTTTATTGCATACTTTCCCGCGTGAGTATTACGCACGCACGCACACACGCAAACAGACACACACACAGGCACAGACGCAGCAACGCGATGACAAACAATTTCCGTGCTTTTCGCCTTGTGGCTTCCGTTTACTTTTTTTTTTGTTCGTGCTGTTAGCTTCGGCCACTGTTTTTTTTTTGTATGTTGGTCAGGTCACATTTATGTTTATATTGTACGAGTATACATTAATTATGGCTATTTGCTCGGCGTCTGTCCCCCCGCCAATTATGTGCACGAAATGGCTTATTATTGGTCCATATACATTCCGACATATAAATATAGGGCGCGTGGCGAAATCAGCTAGCGAATGGCCCTCAAAGGCCACTTTCGGTTGGCCCTCGAACGCACCATCAACACCCAAAGCGAAATTTTTTGGTAAACAAAAATAGGCAATGTTTACTCAGCGAAGAGCCTTAACATTTGTTGCTGTCAACCCTATATAGCCCCGGATGATGGATGTTATTATAATGTCTATCTGACCAAGCTGTCGCTTAGCTCAAATTCGTCTATCTACCATTCAGAAAGAGAGAGAGAGAGAGAAAGTGAATTCAGAGCCACTCACTCGTGCCGCCCAATTGCATTCAGACAGCGGTCAACCGGAGAAAGTTGATCAGTTTATAAGCTGCTTAAAAATTAAAAACAATTTAATGAAAATTATTTCCAGTTGTACCAAAAAAGCAGCATCAAGCACCGCAGAGCTGTGCTTTTTTCTATGCTTTTGTCTTAGCAAAAAGTAGTTTTATTTCGTAATTACACTAATTGGTCCCGCACCCAACGGGGGCGAATAATATAATACGATAATTTGCTTCTCGGTATATTTTGTGCGGCAGTTGCTAACCTCCATAAAAGGCAGCGCTAGAGCAGCATATTATTTTCTGAGAAGTATTTTATTAGTTTAATGCTTTTTGCTCACAAGGGTGACTATTAGTTTAACCAGAAACGATTTCCATAAGCTGCAAATTTCGGAATTAAGTGCGCCAATTGTTGAGTT